CCCCTTTTTAGTAAAGTAATGTCCTTTGGAATAAGCTTTTTAATGAACTTGTTTAATGGTTTGCCGAGCTTACGGGGCTTAATTACACGGGAATTTTTAAGGCTTTTTGCATTAAATTTAAGCTTTTTACCCTTTTTACGGGGCTTTTAACTATTTAAATCCATATTTTTTTTTAAAATCGGAATTATAACGTTAATATTTTTCCGGGTTTTTAAAAGGAATATTAAGTAAATTGACCGTTAGCTTCGGGGTTATTTTAGTTGCGGCTTAATTAATATTGTGGTCGTAATAAAAATAACGGATATTAAGCAATTTATGCCCCTTTACGCTAAGGAAACCCCCATTTTTAATAGGATTTAAAACGCCCCAGCATTTGCAATTCGAATTATATAAGCTTTGTTTAATAAAAACGCCGTTTAAAAAATAATATCGGAAACCGTTAATAATATTAATATCGAATTCGGGAATAAATAATACCTTTTTTAGCGTTATTTATTCGGAATTATTAGCGTTATTTAAGCGTTTTACAATAAGCTAAACAATGCTAACGCTTTTAAGAATTATAAAGCCGCTATTTGTTTTTATTATTATATTATTGCGTTTGATAAATGTAATAAGGTACGTTTTAAAGTTAAAAATGTAATTAATGCTATTTGTATCGTATAGTACAAAAGGGTTTAACGTTTTAGCTTTTTTTTTAGCATATTTATAATTTGCGCACTTTTTAGCCAGTAAATTTTAAATAATTAATTTTTCAGTATTAAATTCGCTAATAGCGGAATTTTTATTAAAGTTATTTAAATAATTCGTATCCATAATACCGCTAATAGCGTTACCTTTTAATGCAGGCTTTAAAAAACGTTGTAATTTAAAAATATAAATGCCGTCCCGTTTTTATTAATGGATTTATTACTATTTTTACTTTTTTACCGGATTTATTAAATTTAAAAAAAGCTTTAAACCCTTTTTGCTTTTTTTTAAGCTTTTGGTTTTTTTTCCCGTTAGCGTGTTACGACCAACAACCACCCTCACCCAGGAAGGAAGGGTGGCACGGCACGAAACCACCGTGAGGGGTAGGGGTTACGTAACCACCTGGGATCAGTGGATCAGGGAAGCAGGAAAGGTGAGCCACTGATCCGAAGGAGGCTCAGGGAGGCTTACGGAGTCGGCCTGGCGAGCCAACTAATCCACGACCTTAAGGGGAGGACAAGGGAGTAAGCATCAGGGTATAAAAGGAAGGGTTTTTTACCGTCCCAAATAGTTCTTAATAAATGCACCGGCATTAGTCAAACTTTAGTTAGCTTCCAAGTAACCTTTGGAGCAAGCATTCAAACCGCACCCAAGTTACCTTGTAAATCCCTTCAATTTGTTAAGTTACGTGCTACTGTTCGACACTCCTTTGGTGCCTTACCTTAAAAGCAGAGGCTTGATTGTAACATAGCGGCTTTTTTTCCTTTTTGCTTTTGCTTTTAGCATTAATTCTTTTAATATTTTTGCTTTTTTTTAGCTTTAGCTTTATAATTTGCAGCTTATTTGTATGCTGTAAATATTGGGTTATAAGTTTTAGTTATTAAATTAGCCATTAAATATTGTAAATTAAGGCTTTTAATTGGTAGCTTTAAAGCAATAGCGCTATAAATAATGCTTCGAAATCGTTTAGCCCAATAAGGAAAGGAACTTTCCATAGCTTTTAAATATTAATTTTTTATATTAATAGCTTTAAAAAATACGTAATTATTGCAAAATTTAATTAGCAAATCGTTAAAATAAAAATTAAACTTGTTAATATTGCTTTTAAATTTAGCGTAATTTAATAAATGGAATTTTTTGTAAAAAGCATCCCTTTAAATTTTAAATGCAAAAAATAGCTTTTTTTTAAAGCTATAAAAGCTAAGCCAGGTTTTATTTCCCAAATTACAATATGTAAAACCTTTTTGCTGCAATTATTTTTTAAAAAAAGCAATAAATTTGTTTAATTTTTTTTTAAAATTTTATTCGCCAATTCGGGGTTGTTTTTAAAACTTTTAACCCCCATTGCAATAAATTAAAATTTTAGCGTGTGTTCCATTTTGGGTAATTGCTAAACGCTTTAAGCTTAAACGTTTTAAAGAAAAAATGCACCTCACGAAATAGTTTTTTTATTATTAAATTTGTGTAAAACAAAATATTGTTTTAATTGGTAAGGGTTAGTGGAAGTGGTATTATTAAAATTGGCTTAAAAGGATTATTACCGTAATTTACTAGCGTAATTGGACCTTGCAAATTAATTAAAGGTTTTGTAACAGTAAGTGCTTTAATTGCTTAACCATTAGCTGGAATATATGTAACCTCCAAAGCTTTTGTTTGTTCCTTTTAAGCATTTTGCTTTAGCGTTGCTATTTTATTAAATAATTGTAATATTAAATCCTTTTGGTGCTTTAGCGTTGCTATTAATTATTCCAGCGCATTTTGCATGTTTGCGTTTTTTCCCCAACGTAGCCCCCGAATTGCTAGGATTATTATCCATTTTTTTTTATTTATACCTATAAGTTTGCCAATTTATAAAAGTTTATTACAAAAGTAATAAAGCCTTATATTAAAACTTAACATTTTTTGCAAATTAATTTTGGGTAACCAGCTTTTAGTTTTACCTTTAATATTAACCCTTTCGTGCATTAATAAAAACCCCGTAATGCAGCTATTTAGCGTTTTTACAAGTATTAAGCATTAACATTAATTTGGCTGGCAAGCACTTAAGCGCTATCCCGCTTCTTTAATAATCGCTTAATAAGCTTTTTAAGTACGTTACAAATTGCTTTAACCAAAATGTATTTTTTATTAAGCTATATAACAATTTGCGCAACAATACCCGGTTTAAATTAAGGTATTTTGTAATTAATATCCACTAAATAACAAATAAGTTTTAGCAATGCAAACCTTTTTTTTTAAGCTATAAAGCAACGGCTTGCAAGTTTTTACAAAAAAACTAAACATCACAAAATAATGCAAACCCTTCCTTTTGCTTGCAACGCGGGTTTTTACAAAAGAATTAAACATTACAAGGTAATGCAAACCCTTCCTTTTACTTGCAACGCGCTTGCTTATAAGCTTTTTTATAAGGGAACTGGACACTTTTATCCTTTAACAAGTTACTTATAAAGTTCCCAAACAGCATACTTATAAAGCGTTCGCTCAGCGCCTTCAAACCTTTAAAGTGCTTCCCAACAAGGTCGCACAGCGTACTTATAAAGCGCTCGCTTAACGCCTCAATTTGTGGTATTAGCGCTCCACAGCGCTTACTAACAAGCCTAAAAGGCTGCTAGCAATTAGGCTTAATTCGTAACTTACAGCGCTTTCGATCGCTGTGGTTAATTAATCAATTTGGGGGCTTACAGCGCTTTCGGTCGCTGTGCTCAATTGATTAATTGGGTCTCGATAAGCTTTCGATTGCTTAAAACCATGTTACAGTCAGGCCTTTGCTCTTAAGGTAAGGCACCAAAGGAATACTAAACAATAGCACGTAACTAAAACAATTGAAAGGATTTACAAAGTAATTTAGGTGCGGTTTAAATGCTTGCTCCAAGGGTTACTTGGAAGCTAATTTAAATTGATTAATGCCAGTGCATTTGTTAAAAACTACCTAAAACAGTAAAAAACCGTTCCTTTTTATATGTTACGACCAACAATCACCTTTACCCAGGAGGGAAGGGTGGCACGGCACGGAGACCCCGTGAAGGGTAAGGGGTTACGTAACCACCAGGGATTAATGGATCGGGGGAGCAAGAAAGGTAAGCTACCGATCCAAAGGAGGCTTAAGGAGGCTTACAAAGTCGGCTTCGTAAGCTAACTAATCCACGACCCCAAAGGAGTAAGCATTGAAGTATAAAAAAAAGAGGGTTTTTTACTGTCCTAGGTAATTTTTGATTAAGGCTTCGGCATTAGTCAAACTTTAGTTAGCTTCCAAGTAACCTTTGGAGCAAGCATTTAAACCGCACCCAGGTTACCTTGTAAATCCCCTCCATCTGTTAAGTTACGTGCTACTGTTCGATACTCCTTTGGTGCCTTACCTTAAAAGCAGAGGCCTAATTGTAATATTAAGTTACTTTTTTAATGGCCAAAGCCCGTTGGTTACGTATTACTGTTTTTCCCGCTTTTTTGTTAATCGTAAATACTATTTTTTTTATTGTTTAACCATTTTTTTTTAACAAAATGTTCGGGCAAATTTAAAAGCGCAAATTTGCTTTTTCGACCTTTCGTTGGAATAAAATTTTTTTTTTTTTCGTTTTTTTGTTTTTATGCTTTTTTATTTAAATTGCAAAATTAACGGTTTTTTTATTACAAAGCGTTTTTTGGTAACCACGTTTGTTATAAGCGGTATATTTGTTAAAAGCGTTTTTGTTGCAACATTTTAAACCCCGCTTTTAAGCATTTTCGGGTTTATAACGCTTATTACAACCGTTGTAAAACCGAATTGGAAGCGGTTAAAAAAAATTGCGGGTTTTTTTTGCCAAAATTAACCGTTTGCGTAAGCAAAAAAAATAATAACGGAAAAAGCTTTTCCGTGCTATTTGTTGTAAAATTAATAGCGTGGAAAAATTGGAACGGGTAAAATAGGAAAAAGCTATTCGTTACGTTACTTTAGCAAAAACCAAACCTTTTTTTTTACCCAATTTTTTAGCGGCTTTTTTGGTTAAATAGCGTTAAAGGTTAACTTTAATTTTAATTTGCTTTCCTTTTTTTAACCGGGCAAATTGTAATTTTTAATAACTTTTTCCGGTTGTATAACGCAATGGTAGCGCGTTTGCTTTTGTAGTGAAAGGTTCCGGGTTTAATTTCCGGTGCAACCGTTGTTATTCATTTTTTCCGCTTTGGTTAGCGGTAAAAATTGGTAATGTTTTTTTTTTGCTTGGTTTCGTTAATCCTTTTTGTTAATTTTTAGCTTAGTAAGGGTTTAATGCTAACCTTAATTTGCTTGCCATTTTTTAATTTGGTAAGTTGTAATTTCTTTAATAATTTTTTTTGGTTATATAGCGCAATGGTAACGCGCTTGCTTTTATAACAAAAGGTTTTGGGTTTAACTCCTGGTGCAACCTTTGCAAAGGACGTTTTTTAAAAAACCGTTTTTTGCAACCTTTTTTTTGCTTAAATTTGCCAGCTTATTTTCTGGATATGCTATTAGTTTTTTTCCCTTTGCTTTTTAGGTTTTTTTTAAATTTAAAGCGTTTTACAAGCTTTCTTTTGGTATTTTATTGTTACCTTTTTTTAAGCAATATTTCTGCAAAGCCTTTTGGCAATTCCCAAAATTTGTTGCGTTTTTTTATATATTGTGCTTATTTTTTTAGCTTTTTTATTTAACAAAGTATTGCTGTTTGCGGTAATGCGTCCTTTTATTTATAATGGCTTTAACTTTTTATTTTTGGTTAGGGTTAATTTCCATTAATTTGGTATTTATAAAGCCCGAAAGCGTTAATTTTAGCAAAAAAACGTAAAAAACCGGGTAAATGCGCATGGTTAGTAATAGTTAAAATTTATAATTAACTGGAAAAATAATACGAATAACCCGAAAAGGTCCTTATTTTTTTATCCAATTTATTGCTTGGCCTTTTTATTTTAATGTTAGCGCGTAAAAAGTAAGCGTTATTCCCTTTTTTAAAAGTTAATTTTTTAATTTTTATTTTGTTAATTTGTTTTGTTATTTAATAGCGCAAAGTTTTTAATTTATTTTAAAGGTTTTAATATAATTTAGTAAGCTTCGTTATTGTTAAAAGCACGCGCGAAACCGCCCGGCAGAAAGCGGGGAGCGTTAAATGCACGGGCGAAACCGCCCGGCAAAAAAAGGAGGAAAGGGGCGCTGGCAGCCAGCCGGGCACGGACCCCCCCCGAGGATATGCCGGCGAATTACCGGTATTGCGGCCAAAGCATAACGGCAAAGTTAAAAAATAAAGTAAAGCTTAAATTGTACGAAAGCGCATGGAGCGCGGAAAATTTATAAAACCAACCCCGCGTGCCCAAAAGGGCACGAAAAAAAAAAAGTTAAAAAGGAATAATTTTTATTGGAAATAATACTTTTGGTAAAAAACTTACGAAAGCTTAATAAAGGAAATACCGCATCCGGCCCGTAATTTAGTAACCACCCGCTTTTGTACCAATTAACTTTTAACATATTGTTCCTTTTCTTTTACCTTTTTTATTAAGGGAACAAGCCCGGGTAATTACCGGAAAGGATTGAATAAGCTTGTAAAAGGCATTTGCAACTTTGCACCGTTTACAATAACGCCCGACGCTACGTTAAGCACGTTGGAAAGGGCCGTTAAATTACCGGAACAAAATATTAAAAAAGCCCCGCAAATTTCCAACGATTTCGAAAACCTTTTCGTAAAAAAGCTGCAAAAAATAAATAACGCTTTAAAAGCCCAAAACAAGCGTGCCCGTTTAATTTAAAAAATTTAAAATAAAAGGTCGAAATATGCGCATAAAAGTTTAAACAAAAATAAAAAAAATACTTTTAAGCAACGGAAAAGTTTTACGTAAAATAAAATTACTTTTAAGCCGTTTATGCTTAAAAAATTTGTAATATAGCAAAATATCGCTTATTACATTAATAATTACAAATTTATTTTTAAAAATAAAAAGGAACGCTACGGTAAAAACCGTATAAAGGTTTAAATAATTTCCAGCACTTTTAATTATTGGTAACGGGCATAATGAACAAAATACAAACAAATGCATTATTTAAATACCGGGGTATTGTTTATTTAAGCCGATTTTTCGCGGTAGCTTTAAATAAAGTTAAAAAACCCCAATTTGCAAATGTAATTAGCAATTAAAAAGCTTGCGGGGAATACCGCTATTAAGCAAAAAAATTACAAATTGTTCGAAACGTTTTGGATTTGTTAAAATTTGGTAAAAAACGACCTTTTCGAATTAGCACCCAAATAAATAAAAATAACATTGCTTTTTAACCAGTTCCGCCCCGAAATCCAAAAACGGGTAATATTTAAAAGCTTTTTTTATACCATGGAAAAATTGCAAACCAAAGCTTTTAAAGCAAAAATAATATCGGAATTGCATAAAAAAATACCGGGGGATACCGGTGCTTTAATTGCTAAAAAGCCGGTTACTTGCTTTAAATGCGGATAGCTAAATTATATTGTTGCAATATGCAAAATACGAACGGATAACCCGGAAACCCCGTTGGCTTTAGCAATTACATAAAGGGCAAAAGGGAAAAGGCTTAAAGTACGGTGTTACAGGTGTAAAAAATTAAGCTATATCCGGCCGGCGTGTTTTAAAAAAAAGCAAAATATTGTTACTTAATTTGATACCGCTATTTGGCCGTTCGGGTACCGGAATTTAAAAGTACGCTTTGGCGGTTAGGACGCGTTGGAAAACCAAAGTATATTTACGGATTAACAATTGCCGGGTAAAGTTAAAAGCATTGGTTAACAATAGGAATAACTGTAAAAAGGACTTTGGGGTGGAGTTTTATGCTCGTGGATTTCCAAACGGCGTAAAATTAAGGTTTGATAATTATCGAAAAGTAATTAAATTAAAATGTTGTTATTTAGGTTTAAAAAGGAAGGAATTTTGCTAAAAAAAGGAAACGGATCCGACCTTTTTATATAAATACAAAAAAGCTTTAAATGGCCGGTGCACAAATTCCGGATTTGTATATAGCGATTTTTTAAAGCTTGTGCATGCGCTTAACAGGTAAATTCCAATACCGATTATTTTTTTTTTTAATAGCGCATGCATGGTAAAAAAAAAAAAAATTGCATTTTAAATGCGCAATAATAAATAATTTGCCAAATTGGCGATTTGGGTAATATGTAAAAGGAAAATGCTTGTTCGAATTGTTTCGCCGGATGCGTATTGTTGTTAAATAATAAACGTGGGTAAAGGTTTGGGGAATTATGTAAATTCCGGTTTTAAAGCTTCGGGATTAATAAATTTAAGGTTATGGGCGTTTAGGATTATTGTAAGTTAAATGGAAAGTTTTTATGGTGTTTGGGAATAAATGCGTTAAAAGCGAAGGTGGAAACTAACGGATAAAAAGCGGTAAGCTTTTATTTGGCCCGTTAATTGTTAATTTAATTATTTTAATTTTTTTTTTTACAACCCCGTTTTTTAAGCTAATTTAATTGGCCACGTGCGTTTCGGAATCGTTATTTGCAATTCGTGCGCTTGTTGTATTGTTATTTCCTATTTTCCTTTATTTAATTTTGTGCTTTATACCTTTTTAACAGCATTATGGACTTTCCGTTTGGCTTAAACGCTTAAAATCCGTTCGATTACGCTCCGGAAAGCGCTATTTTATTGGAAAAAGCTTAAAATTAGCAATCGGTTGCTTGGGTTGCTCCAAAGCAAAGCTTTATAGCTTACCTTTAGGCTATGCTTTTTTCCGTTAAAAAGTTTAACGAGCTTTTTTCGTTTCCGGCATTACAATTTGTATTTAAAAGTTTGCCCGCGCCCGTTTCGGCCGTTCCAATCGTTTTTATCGGTTGCAAAAGAAAGCGTACCGCTTTCCGCTATAGCCGTAATGGTTTTAATATTTGTAAGCGTGGTAAAAAAGGTGCTAATTAAGCAACGATTTGCTTTAATTGCTTTAATTCCGTGCTTTACGGCAAATTTAGCGTTAAAAAGGATGCGCTTTGGCTTTGTATTAAAAAGCTGGGCTTTAATAGCAAGCGTTGCTGGCGTTGTACTTTTGGTTATTCGTATAAGCCTATGTAAAAAGCTCCTTTTTTTCGTTTCCGGGTTTTTTGCGCTAACAATTGCTAATTTTCCGCTTGCTTATTATATTATTATAAAGTTTTTTACCGAAGCGCTTAGCGATAAGCTTTATAATGCGGTATATTATTTCCATTTTATATATTTTGTGCTTTATAAATTTGCTAACGTTATTTTTCCGATCGTAAATATTTTAAAAATGGCGCACCATTACCAAGTAGCTTTTTAAGCTCGATGTTAAATAAAGCAATTTAAATGCCAATTTTGCAATTATAATTTCGGGTTAGCAATACAAAACAAAGCGTTTGGCCGCGTTTCGTTTTTTTAAAATTGCGTTTTTCGAAGCTTTAAGCGAAAGTTTTTCCGTTTAAAATAATAATGCGAATAAAAAAAATGAAAATTATAATAGCAATAATAATTAACTTTATTTTATAACGCTTATAAAGCTTAAAGATTTCGTTGCTATGCTTGCAATTGCTGCTAAAAAGCAAAAAAAAAGGACAAAAAAGGGAAAGGAGTTTTTATTGCTAAAAGCAGGGTTGGGAATTAAGTTAGTAAGTCAAGTTATTACCATGACTTTGACTTACTAAAAAAGTTATGGCGGTAACTTTGACTTACTATAACTTACTAATGACTTACTTAAATGACTTAGCAAGTCACATTAAGTCATTTGGATAAATAATAAAGTAAATTAGTATAAATTTAATTAAATAAATAAGTAAATATATTTGTAATAAAATACGTAAGTACGCAAATAATTTAGCTAATAAATTAATAAATAAGCAAATAAATAAGCAAATAAATAAGCAAATAAATAAGCAAATAAATAAGCAAATAAATAAGCAAATAAATAAGCAAATAAATAAGCAAATAAATAAGCAAATAAATAAGCAAATAAATAAGCAAATAAATAACCAAATAAATAAGCAAATAAATAAGCAAATAAAAAAACAAATAATAATAAATAATTAAAAATCCATATCGTCTTCCGTTAAATCCCGTAATATTTCGTAATTCCCGGTATTTTTAACGGTTTTGTTAATATATAA